GCGCCAAAAGCCTGATTTATGTGTTCAAAAGGAGATGGTTATTAATCTTTCCTTGCCTTGGTGATTAATATTCCTTCGTTATATCTTAATAATTTTTTTCTTTTTCTTTAAACTCTATCTTGCATTTATTACACCATTGAGTTTTATTCCAACTATCTTGATTTATCAACTGAACTCTACTCATTTTATTCCTATCAAGGTTTATTTGTTTCTAACCCTTTGAACTGTTGTCATATAAAAGATTGATTGATCGGTAAACCGGATAAAGTTTGTGCAAATTTACTAGTCCTATCTCGTTTGGTGTACACTAACTAGTGGGTCTACGTTCTTGCACTGACAGAGGATGGAAAATTAGAAATTCCCTACTCTATTCCGCTGTTCTGCAAGCATTTAGGGAGAACAATAGTGAGAGAGCGAATGCTACATTTATTTTTTGCTCAAAAAAGACCACCAAATTTCTAACCGATGATGGATCGAAAAAAGCTATTAGCGACAGACAACCTTTCATCACTATATGTAGAGTGATTTACTCAAATGCTAAGTTATTTCGATCGTCTTAGGGAATCAGTCAATTTTTAAAAACAAATCTTAAGAGAAACTATACTCGGTGTTCTACGAAAAAGTTTCTGAAAAGAAAAATTGTGATCAACCAAGTCTAATCCTTACTCTGTTCCTGAGTATTTTAAGTACAAAACGTTTGCGTGTAATTCTGTTTTTAACGTATATCAAATACAGCCGGACGACGTAAATTTTTTCGTTGTTTCTAATCCATTCTACATTATAGTAATTAGGTTCCTAACTATGCGAATTAGGCAGTAAATAGACCCAGTCACTGATACTGATTATTTGTAGAAATAATTAAAGTTACTGTCTTTTCCCCGTCTACCTCAGCTGGCTTCTAGGATAATGTTTCGTCCGATATGCGTTAGGTGAACACTTTTGACAACTTTAAGGTGATCAAACGATTGATTTTATAGTCTAGTAGTCACCATATAAGGGTATTAAGATGAAAAGATGTTGTTATGAGACTAATTCTTAGTACATAAGCATGACCCCTACTCACGACTGTATTTTAGGGCTTAGGCGTCGAGATGAAGTGTTTACGATTTGAAGCACTGTTGTGGGTGATACTAGATAATGACATGAACTTTCCAGCAATTTCACAGTAATAATCTTAACATTATTGAGTGGTATGTTGTTACTTAACGGCCGGTTAGTTATCACGTGATTTATTCAATCTTAGTACTGTACCAAACCAAAGACACTCGACCGGTCAGCCTAGCGATATTATTGGTCCTTCGTTCGCCTAGCCTGTCCACTTGAGTCCAGAACACTAATAACAGCTCCTACTATGTGAATCATTTATTTCAAACATACTTAGTTTATGTACCAGCCAAACAGACCACATCACATAATAAAATAGGAAATAACACTTATAGAATATCAAGCCGAAAAATGGCTGTGAACGTGGGAGACTAGTCAATAAACTGAGTATAGCTTAAGAACAGTAAATCGTATAATAATAATCTATAGGTCAAAATGAAACTTACCATTAAGGGAATATAGGTATACGTAGTCTAGTTACTGAACAGTTATACAATAGGTGTATATATAAGCTAATTAATAGGTCTCAAAGTCACTCGTAATTAAATCTTCCCTAGTATATAACAGTAAGATTTATAAAACGATAGTTATGGATTTATATTTTCACACCGTAAATGTTCACGTATTGTTTTAGGATTCCCAATTGAAATTCTGAAAAAAAACAACTCGAAAACTTTCAACTGAAAGGTAGGTAAACAAGGACGTAGCTACCACGTGATCTAAGCTGATGCATAGATAACAAATAGATGGATATATAAAAAAACTTAATAATAAAGTATTCATTAAAAGTGCATCAAAACTTTTAAAGTAAGGAAACAATATACATTCCTTTTAATTTTGAAGATCTTCCGTATCAGCTGATGGATACAAATTAATTGAAATGTGGTTCATAAAAACAGCTGACTTGAATTTCCAAAAAGAATAGAGTGGGATGCTATCTGAAGGTAAACAATCGCGAAAATAATAATTTAACGGTATTACCTTTTAAAATCTGGACCGAAAATTGTGACATTCCATCTTACATAAAATACTAATCATCAAATTCTGATCTTTGTTTAGATAAAGAGTGAGGAAGATGGCTGATAATCGTACATGGTAACTTCAGAATTGGAATTTATAGTCAGTAAATCAGGTATTTATAATTGTTCCGTGTACATGGACAACACATTCAAACGGAAAACATTCATGAAAAGCATCATAAAAATGCTTATTAAGCAAACACTCCTTAGGAAGGTTACATTAGTAGGTTACTAGGTCTCTCTATGGAGTGGGCTATTTAGGGAATAAATCCTATAGCTGATTTTCAAAAGCTTGTGGATGGAGCTTTCAAACTAAGCATTTCATATTGTAGATTTCAGTCTAGAAAGCAGAAAACCTAGCATTACATTTGGATATACGTTTCAGTAATAGACGTTCATCAGATAATATTTAATTCACATATATCTGCTGCGAATGTTTAATTAACCAATACCTGATCCTTTATAAAGGTATCGACCGAGTGTCTACGTTGTATTTCATAAACAATGAGGTTTTTGCAGTGTTATTCAAGTTAACATGGTGGTGAACTAGTTCCTGAGCTAGGTGACTTCGCTTTCCTAATCCTGTGGAATAACTAAATGTGCTGACAACTGGCTAACTGGAATAAGCGGATCACTGGTAGAGAAACCTTTTGTTATGCCTCTTATTTACTGAATATCAGTAAACATTCTCGATCACTTCCTGTGATTCGTATTTAGTGAAGTAGAGTAATTTCGGTCACGTGATACTACAGAAGCTTATTTTGAATGGGCGACTCTACGAATCATTGTGGAACAATCAATGAAATGGAATTCATCACTCTACACCAACTTCATTGACTACGAAAAAGCATTTGATAGCGTGGACAGAACAACACTATGGAAGCTTCTTCGACACCACGGCGTGCCTCATGAGATAGTCAATATCATACGAGATTCCTATGATGGATTAAACTGCAAAATTGTGCATGGAGGACAATTGACAGACTCGTTTACTCTCACCCTTTCTCTTTCTCCTGGATCATGAAGATGTCAACATTTGAAGGGAAATGCGGGATGCAGTGGACATCTAGGATGCAGCTGCACGATCTAGACTTCGCAGATGATCTGGCCCTCCTATCGCAATCGCAACAACAAATGCAGATGACCAGTGTAGCAGCAGTAGGTCTCAATATACACAAAGGGAAAAGCAAGATTCTCCGATACAACACAGTATGCACCAATCCAATCACAATTGACGGAGAAGATTTGGAAGATGTAAAAACTTGTACATATTTGCGCAGCATCATTGATGAACACGGTGTATCTGATGCAGGTGTGAAGGCGCGGATCGGAAAAGCAAGAGCAGCATATTTACAACTGAAGAACATCTGGATCTCAAAGTGGAATAGAGAGTCCCCACCAGATTGTATGATCATTACGGAGACGTTTTGAAATCTTATATGTATTGCTGAACTAACCATCTGCCGTAATAGACGTGCCGTATTGTAAGAACCTCACAGGAACGCAGTATTCACCAACGGGACGTTTCACGAAGCCGTGAGTGGACCTAGTCTTTATTTAAATGGGGTTCTGTAGGCGCGTGCATGCTGATTTATACTTTCTAACGAATTACCTCCTACCCTTAGACTTATTTCAGTTTGTTGTCAATGCTAAGTGCAGCCAATTCTTTTTCAACCAATCTTTTGGAATGATAAATTTGTTGAACGGCAAAGCGCATGACTGGAATCCAAGAAGATACTCTAAAATGAAAACAATCTTGTAAGCGACCGCGGCATCGGTAGCTAGTCGCAATATGGCCACCATGAGCCCAGACTTAAGTTGAAGAGGGAAGACATGACAGTTCAGAAAGCTTGCGATCTGTGCAAATCTGTGGAAAACAGTCTCCATTATCCGAGCTGGGATCAATGAGTTGCCATCGCTTTCAGTCCGCTACAACGTAGGTCCAGGCACATATATGCATCAGTCTAAGTTGCCACACCTCAATAGTACAAGCTGGACACCGAATTCATAGAAACAGTTACTTCGACGGTAGTAAAATAATCAGAGTATAGGTGAACACAACGAGAAGACATTGTTTTCCACATCGTTGCGAGACGTTAGTCTTAGTCGTAAATGTCCGTTGTTCGATCTGTTTCGATGTATGAACGTTGTGGATAGAAATTTTAAAAGACGTACACTATTGCAGGATAGGTACATGAACTCTTCCGCCCGAGGACAACCTTCGATAGGCAATAATCTGGCAATGTGAGATCATTCAATTTAGATTACTCAGGTGGCATATTTCTGTTTGAGTAAGACGTCAGTGAAATGAACTCGTCTGAATGTCTTGAGGACTACATTAGTGTTAGTTGGGTCTCCAACAATTCGAAATGCTTTAGAACTACAGTGGGTCAGTTTTTAGTCTGAACATATGGAGGTAAGTAGTTCAGCACACTGACGATACTCACCTTGGCAGCTCCATTAGCATTGGGCGATAGATAGACGACAGAATTTTGACACGAATGAAAACCTTGTTTGGATTTTGTAAACTTTCGTTACGTATGTTGAACAAACGGTGTCTGTCTGTCTATAAACGAGCAAAGACGTTCCAAGGTACTTCGCTCTGTTTTCGCTTATGGCTGTGCAACACTTTACTGGAGGTGGGAAACACAGGTAGGTTCCTCAGTGTTATGGCATACGTTCATAGAACTTTATACGCTTTCGGTATCAGTTACTCACCAAGTTTGTAGTTTAGTATTTTTTGAATTCCTAACTGAATTCAATGGGTTACATATAGTCAGTAGTACATCAATCAATTACACATGATTGGTCAATATATCCACTAATAACTTCAGCTGTGTGACATACAATGCAGTTGGGAAATTGGAAAATACAGAAACATGCACAAATACTTATTATTAGTTTCCTGTTTTTATGAAAATAATAATAGCGTGCAGAAAGAAAAACTTTACAATGACCGTTATGGTTGGTGTCAGTGATGTATTACAAATAGTAAAACTAGAAAATCACACAGTAGTGCGTTCACAGTTAGTTTTAACAAATGTATTAAGGTTCATTTGATAGCCCAGTGTTTTAAAATAAGTCGAAGGCAAATATTCGACTGAAAGAATTGTAATACAAAAAGTGTCAATAATAGTTTAGTAGTAGTCTCCGAACCAATCACACTGTCGAAAAAGACAATCGAAATGCAAGAGGAACGATGGGAGTGTATTTATATACAAGAAGATGGGGTGATTATATCCATTTGAAGAATTGAATTTCGTAAGTTATTAAGAGGAATAGTGTTACAGTGATTTGTATTGGAATCAATTTTTAGCCTTCTCCCTCAGTGTACGCTCTCGTAGGTTAACCAAAAGGTCACGGATTTGGGCACGCTTCTGGCTGACAGTAGCTTCTGGAAACCAACCAGCCATTTCGTGTTGGAAATAATCCTTCGTATAACTTTGAACAGGTTTCTAAAAATATATTAACCAGTGGTAAAAAGGCGAATAAGTGATAGAGTTAACTTTTCGGTCAGTTATTGAAAGATTATTTCATGAAAACACTGTCGACAAAACTAAACTGCAGGGTTGCGTATGAAACAATTTTAAAAGCAATTCAATAAGTATATTAGGGGTTACAAGTCATCAGTTACTAAGGTAATGCATATAAAGAAATGGACAAATGATCACTAATATGGATAGAATTTTCTGATATTATTTTAGAAATCTATATAAGCGAATATTATACAGTAGATGAGAGTTTACACCCAAGTATACACAGTAACTATAGTACAAAGATTGGTTTCCGTAGGTTTACATCAGAATGAGCACACTAGGTACATAATAAACATATAATTCTAACCACAGGTACGATTCATTTGTATTAGGCCCAGCCCATCAAGCGAACGGGCCATACACACTTTGATAGCCTGAAATAAATGACCGATATTCAGATTTTCAAGTTACATGTTAACAATAACACATCAAGTTTACACCCATAATTAACTACGGTATGTCAAAACAATTAAATTCACCTTGAAAAACATTTCCACGTAATGAAGTAGGTAGATTCCACAATCAACCAGGTTACTCTGAACAGGCACTCGAGGACTAAAACCTCGAATTGTATCCTTATCAAAGCGGAGAACACCATCTTGGGCTGATCTGCGAGTATTCCATTCAGCTTGTAAATAACTGAAATAAACAAAAAATAAAATATTTGCATTTATATGTGTTTATTAGTAGTCGACAATATAGTGGGATTAAAAACCGAAGTTACATTCTTTTACTCATTGTGGTTTTTGTTCAAGATACGATATTCTTGTATTAAGTTAACATGTACTATGCTTAACATGACATGCAGCATACGATTTGTTATAACTCTATGTATTTCTCATATATATGACTTTATCCTAATTAATAATCAAAATGGGTGTACAGTCAATATACAAATGAATTTATTGTTAACCAGGGTCGCTTTTATGTTTTGGGGTTAATAAATCACTTGTACCGGTCTTGGTGTTCTTTACGTCATGGGAATGGCAGTGGTTAACCGTTTTACAGGTATAAGTAATAAGCGATTCTGACATAACAATTAGCGACGACTAGATAGAACAACTGACGACAGGAATTTCGGAAAAAAAGAAAACAAAACAATCGCCGACTGGGTTAATTTACAAGCTTCAGTTTCCAACATAACTGTCTGTTTCCAGTTATAACCCAGTTTTCAGTTCAACTTACCCCAAATCCTGTTTCCTCAGTTATAAATATAATTCTGCTCTTATTTATCAAGTCTCTGTTACAATAAACGACGCGGTTACTAATGTGAGAACATGTCAGTTTCAGTAGCAAAAGTAAAAAGGATGCTTCAGTTTATTGAAGATTTATTTGTTAATCAGATCCCACTTAATGCTCATTGGTGCATCGAACGAACATATGCTTAAACAATCAAATTCGGAATCGCACTCAAAAGTTCTAGATACACTTAACGAGTTAACTGATACAGTAAGGAACAGTTTTGTGAATGAGGAAGAGGTCAAAGAATTTCTTAATAATAATCCTCGCATAAAATACGATGGAATAGAAAAGAAAACCTGCTTCTTATACTTACGTTTCAAAGGTGATGAAATTGTCGGAATAATTAATCACAGACTAAACTGTGCGTTGAAAGTGACCTACCCAGCAGCAAAACTTATGACAGTATGGCAAACGAACTGCTCACTTAAGCAAACCAAAATCGACAAGTCCTCTTTTCTTAATAGCTCCAACTGCATTTACCAATTCACATGTACGTGCCAAACACATACATTGGAAGAACTGAGAGGAGAGTGCATGTCCGAATTTCTGAGCATGTTTCAAAAAACTGCGAGGGACTAAGGCTTTCAACAACGCAATAATTCGACATCTACTTGACATCGGAGACACAGTCGACATTCCACACGCTTTCAAAATTATCAACAGACAAAGAAGTACGACCACCCTCCGTTTTGCTGAAGCCATTGTGATCAAAAAACTTAAACCGGATTTATGCATTCAAAAAGAGACTTGAATGAACTTATCACTACCCTGGTAACCTCCTTTTTTGTGTGTGTATTTTGGTTATTTTATTCATTTATTTATTTTAAAATATTTATACTCCTCCCCTATTACATAATTCTTAGACCACATTATTATTCACACATTTCCACCACCTGATCCTCTTAAATTATCTTAATTTTTCAAATTCGATTTAATTATTAGGTAACCTGACTTATTTATGATTATCCAATTTCATTAATCTCTAAAATCATCATACAATTTATGGACTTCACTAAACTATTACACCACCCACCCTGAATTAATTCCTTTTTTAACCTCTGACCTGTTCTAGCATATATATATATAGTTATTATTGTAATCCTGTTATTTACACTCATCCATGTCAATTGTTTTCACACTATCTCAATGTAAAAATTCTATCACATTTTTGGTTTGTAAGCAACTGACGACAAACCTCGAAATAATATGAATTCTTACTATTCTGCACCAATATTTGTTCTTGCTTTATTTAAATTCATAAAGTGAACCAATTGCATGAAATCCTTAATAATGTTGACTCTGGACAATGTTCAAATGTTCTTTTGTCACATCCCTCTCATTCTAATTATCCAGTCACGTCGGGTGGGACAAATCTTTCAAATGAATCAATTTCTGTTCAAATTCCTAATGATGTCATATCAGATGCTGACTATCTTGATGATTCATTAATTCCAAATGAAGTCCTTAATGAGTTTGAGAAAAATGTTTCAAATGTATCAAATTCCAGCGATATCATAACAAATGTTGCTTGTTCTCACGATGCATTTGTTTCTCGTGAAAAATTAGTCAATATGATGCACAAATTCTCAATGGGTTCAAATCGAATTATAGTTCTAATGGACCCATATCAAGTGTTATTTATCCTCACAATTCACTCACCTCTAGTCAGTGTGAGAAAAATGTTCTAAACGAGTCACACTCTGATCACATTTCAGATGTGATTGTAGCAGATTTTGGGTGCTCTCACACCTGATATATGTGTTACATAGAATCCCTCCTCAATGTTATGATAAATCAATCGATATAACAAGTGTTTGTGAAGCAGTTGCGAAACCAGATTGCAGAGCATGGAAGTCGGAAGGTTAAATATTTTATTTATTTGTGTTTATTAGTAGTTTTCTAGTTAGTTTAATTAATAGAGTAATTAACAGTCATTATTATGCCTTATTATAGATAGATCTATCGAGTGATATTGTGATATGTAGTTATTTGTGGTTAGACAATGTCGCTTAGATATTTGCAAAGACAGCAAATCAACTTTCTTATCGTTGTAAAGTAATTATTCCTGGCAGTTACAGAAGGAGAAGTAATCTTTTTTGTTCTTGCACAAGACTAGTTTGTTCACAGTAAACAATAGTCACCCAATTACTGGTACGAGTTACTCTCCTTAATAATTTTTTGTCTCCAAACATTTTTCACAACTGTTATGATCTGGGTTTATTTACACCTCCGAACATGTTGTTCGGTAAACAACCATGCGCTTGCTCCTTCTTTCTATTTAAAGTTAAATTAGGCACACTAGTATAACTCTCTTTAACCAGGTGCTTTATACATATGATTCGATTCCTCTTCAAAAAAGTACTTCTGGTCTAACTGAGCGTCTATTCTTAGGGTGACTTGATTGTATTTAAGTAATTCTGCTTTATTTCATCTGATAAACTCTTCGTTTACATCCAACTAGCACATAGAGTTTATGGCAGTGATTCCTTGCAATAATCTCAGTAACGATTGATTAAACGGTACGATGATACTACGAGTAATCTGGTGAATGCTAATATGTTTGATCAGCTGTGCCAATGCTAACGCCAATAATAATGGGGCATTGCAGTAACTTGCTGCATGTGCATACACAAGACATTAATAAATTTTCCTGTCTAAAATCACAAACTATATGTTTTAAAAGTCAAGTCATATTTCTACTGAAATAATCAAAAATTACAGTCACGGACTAGTGACCTGTGACAACAATAAGATGTCGAGTTTAATCAAAGAGGTTTCAGTACAGTGAAAATTATCTGAAAGTTCAAATACAAATGTCTCTATTTGGTGGGACAGTGAGATCTCAAGGAGAATAATGTACGTAAAGTAAGATTTGATGGCTTTATTGAATAAATAATGCTGAAAAAAATAGAGGTAACTTACTTTCGAATAACATGCAAATTGCCAACTCGGCTTTGACAAGGAAGCGAATCGAATAGTAAAACACATGGCCTATTCAGGTTTTTTTTCAAAATAATGGGATTTAGTAACAGTTACAAAGAACAAATAAAGCTAACTAAATAGAATATATACATGTGACAGTGATTATAAAGTCTCTAAAATATCAAGTTATTTACTTGCCACAGGGTTATATTTTGGACCAACTGATAAACATATTGAGGTACGAGTTAACGTCAAGTATATGGTATTAGAAATACAGTATACAACTGTGAACCGAAAAAGTTTTGGTACAGAAACAAGAATATGAACTCTATGTAACTAACAATACAAGTTAAATAGAAAAAGGAGTTGCTTAATTTTCACATAGTAGTTCGACTGAACAGACTGAGTCAGTCCGTCAATGACAACGTAGAACTTCGTACGTACGTACATCAGTCCGAGTTGCCATACCACATTAGCACAGAAATGTAGTTGTCGACTCAAATCTCTTAGTGATAGAGGTAGTAAGAGTATAAGCAGTAATCGGAAACATTAGGGTTTGATGTTTTTATTTGAGGAGTATAATCCAGTGAAATGAATTTGGAAAGAGAAAAAAAGGGGACATGAAGAAATCAGGAGATTAGAATTTGGAAAAACACAAAGAGTAGATGCACCTGCGCCATTACAAACGATTTTGAGCCATGTCATTCAAGGTCTCGAACCATCGGTTTCTATCGTCTCGCGGATACCAACCAGGTAGTCTACATCTACCAACATGACTCAGTCCACTTGTCAGTGACTTCATGGACTTGTGCCATGTTTTGGTCTGGTCACCCCTAGCATTCTTCCAACCTACTCCTACACCAGAAAACATTGCACGTCGGTGGTTGGGCATACGTAACACATATCCCAGCCATCTCAACTGATGAAGTTTCACTACTTCATCAATTGATTTGCCATCCTTACCTAGTACCCGTTTCCTAACAACCGTGTTACTTACTCGATGGTCCCATGATATACGAGGAATGTTTTGAAGACACCTATGATCGAATGCTAGTAACCTACGAATATCCTCTAATCTTATCGGTCATGTTTCACTGCCATAAAGTAGGACGGAACGAACTGCTGCGCAGTATACACGTCCTTTGGTTGATAGACGGAACAGACTGAGTAATAATTCCACACATGCAAACTAGACTTATGTTCTAGTAAGTAGATTTGGGAATATTGATTTCTCCTATGGAGTAACAAAAACAACTTACATTGCGTTAACACCACGTTGACGAAGCCAGGCTAAACGTCTTCGCCGCCACCGATCAAATGCTTCACCCTAGAATGGAAGAATAGGTCTCGTGTTGACAATCAATAATTGAAATAATAATTTATTTATGTAGTGAACACTAACCGTGCATAGCCGACCCCAGAAAAAAGGTGGAAAACCGTTCGGTCTAAAAGGTGTGTTTACGTGAGGCTAGTAGGTGGGTAACAGTCGTGATTGAAATTTGTGGGTTTCTGATATAATGGCGGAATAAAAATACTTTCCGTTTCCATGATATACCACTATAATATGATAATAAGATCGGTGACTGAGACTATACTACCACTAGATTGGATACTCGATCGATACGCTACACACAAACTGGGATAACGTCATATTAGATACACGAATAACAACTAAATATAGAGAACCAGAGTGTAGACTAAACAATACTTTGTTTGACACAATTACACCCAGCATGGAATCGGTGAGTTTAGAGTAGAAGTCAATAACAGGAGAGAAATCACACATTTAATGGTAAGTTGAGTATTTTTCAGTCCACACTAAGTGGGTAGTCACATCTTGCTTTCCCTAGCTTACGTCAGTTCCTTAACACTTAAATCCTCATACAACAACAGTTTATTAGATACAAGGTAAGGACAATCACGCCGTAATGTTTCTCAAGGTTTGTCTCCAGAAAAGTCATTTCTAGTTCAAAGTATTAGATGACAAAATCTGGGAAATTATGAATGGGAATTCAAAGCGTAGGAAAAATATATTTATGTCAGATAAAGTCGTAACATAATAAACGTTGAAACAGGGAAATTATCAGAACCGAGGATCTGTTTAAACTAAATAAACACACAACTGGAATTAAATAGTTAATTAAATCGGTTTATAGCTAAGTGGCTTGAGTCGTTATAGAAACCTAAAAATACCAAAAATACTAAATGTACAGTTATTTATACAAGCATTGAGGGAAAGTACAAGACATTTTTTATCAGTACTACACTCACCATTCATTGCTTATTAGTCATATAGATGACTGGCTAATTTGCTGTTACTATTCGTCATTCGACACTCACTTATCACTATCAATTCCATACAAATTACCCCTAATAGCTACATCGTAACAGAAATTCTGTTTGGAAAAATGAACAGATAGTACTATTCTATGGTAGCAATGATTATGATTTGTAGTCATACTTTCTGCACTTGTTAACTTTATTGAATGACTATCGTAGTAGTTCAAACAAGAAGTACAAAGATTACTCATCATCAATGTATGGTTGCACATATTGTGACAAATCAAACTGGTAATGAGTGTTTGCTTTTCAGGCACTGATTGATTATTCGTTGTCGATAGTTTTCTTTTGGTGTTGGACAATAAATTTTTGTAAATTAGTCTAGCCGTTTGTTGTGCTTCAATAATGAATCGGATTTTATTCAATTTTCTGACTCTGTGAATTGGGACAATTATATTAATCGTTACGTCTATATTTTGCAAAAACATCAACACAGTAGTCCCTGCATCTGTTTATTCCTCTGTACATGTTTTCAGAAATAGATATATGTCGAAGTAACTCTTTTTAACACGTAATAAAACCATGGACTGTGTCCAGAAGTATCATTTGTTCAACTGTTTTGTTTTTAATGTGTGGTCCCGTAACCAGATGTTACATTAAAACACTACTGAATTAATATCTATGGGACCATTAGTAATTGCAAAGAAAATACTATTATTCTGTTTCAGATGCAACACTGATGACAGATCAGGTCTTTCCTTGCATGCCCAGATACAATATCAGCTAAAAATGTTAACACCGCCTAAAAGGTATATAAAGCAAGGTATTGTAGATCACTAAAGTAGATGATCTATATCGAATGATTGGCAGCCAGCTGGAGTTGGATCAGCCGGCTAACCGCATGGACCAGTCAATGGCGTGCAATTAACTGATGCGCGTTAGTTGTCGTTGGTTTTGACGAAGATCGGTGAACTGTTTGATATTCAGTGACCCAACTGCCGGATGATTTGGCTATGACTCAGTTACATTTCACTGGCCCTACAGTATCTTCCGTACAAGAGTGAATTATTAAGATGTTTTCGTCAGACAAGGTAAACGACACTGTTATTAGAAAAGGAAATTAATTATCTGCGAGATACAAAAATTAAGTAGTCATCAATGAATACTGATACTAACAACGAATAACTTATGGATGTACTGGCAAATATGAATTATGGAAACATGCTTCAAGCTTAATCGACTGACCGTCTGTAATACGAAGATCTCTGGAGATGGGGAACATTGTATAAGAGTGAGTTCTTGTAGAATCAACTTGACTTGCAATGTAGATGAACACTGAACACTTCTCGGCTAACATATGGAGAAAACTCTACGTCGTTAAGGGGTTAACAAGCAAGATATACTGCTCCAGCCACTAAGATTCAGTGTTCAGATGTAAAATTCTGCGCCTCAGTAGAGATGAGTGACTGCTATCATTAGGATCATTCTTTTCACTCGAAAATTACTAAGGCCTACCAACGACTGCAATGAAGACGATAAAGATCAACTCTACGATAGGCTGCAGTCAATCGTTGAGAAATGCCCAGCAAAGGACTCGACCGTTCTCATGGATCATACTACACAGAACTAAATGGAACATATCTGCATCAACGAAAAGTTCAGGAGGACGATGGAAGATGTGAGAATCAAGAAAGGAGCTGATATAGCCTCAGATTATCACTTGCTGGTCTCCAAGATGAAACTGAAACTCAAGAAGAACTGAAGAACGGGGCACACAACATCACAAAAGTTCAATACACCCATTCTTCGGGATACTAACAAACTCAACGAATTCAAGATGGCCCTTAGCAATAGGTCCCAGGCCTTTCACGATCTAATCAATAGAGAGGGAATGTATGTCCTATCCACCTCCAACGTCTTCTCCCGATTTCCTCTTCAGCTCGAAGCTGGTTTGTTCTCTCCCATAGTAGGTCGTTGTTGATGGTATCCGACCTACAGACATTGAGTATCTTGTGTAGACAATTGTTTATAAATACTTGTACTTTTTTGATAATGGTTGTGGTAGTCCTCGGAGTTTCAGCCCCGTACATTAGGACTGTCTTAGCGTTCGTATTGAAGATTCTCACTTTGATGTTGGCTGACTGTTGTTTCGAGTGCCGTATGTTCTTCAGTTGTAGGAATGCAGTCCTTGCTTTGCCGATCTTCGCACTTACATCTGCATCAGATCCTTCTTGTTCATCGATGATGCTGTCCAGGTACGTGAATATTTCCACATCTTCCAGAGCTTCTCCATCCAGTGTGATTGGGTTGGTGTACTCCGTGTTGAAACTGAGGATCTTGCATTTTTCCTTATGTATGTTGAGGTCTGCTGATCCAGAGGCTTCTTCCACAGTGGTTGAATTGATCTGCATTTGTTGGTAGGAGAGAGTAAGCAGTCCTATCTGACACCGGTCCTCACTTGAAGTGCGTCTGTGCGCTGTCCACCATGCAAGACTCTGCAGTGTAGACCGTCCTAAGAACTCCGAATGATGTTGACGTTCTTCTCAGGTACACCATAGTGTCGAACATGATTCCACCAGGTTAGCCTATCCACACTGTCGAATGCTTTCTCACAGTCAATGAAGTTGATGTACAATGACGAGTTCCATTCGATTGGTCTGTGCACGACCGATCCTTACGGCATCCGGCTTGTTGATCTCGAAGCCGGACGTTACTGAATCCTTCATCCGGTTCAGTAACACTCTTTTGATAACTTTCCCTGGCATCGATAGTATTGTGGTGTCCCTGTAGTTCTCATACTTGCTCAGACCTCCATTCTTTGTTGTATTGATGAGGTGTTCTTCTTTCCAGTCCGTCGGTGGCACTTGTTTTTCATCCCAAATCTCCCTGACTAGAACGTGGAGCATGTTTGCGGCTACTTCTGTCTGATTTCAGTGCTTCGGCTGGTATATTGTCATGTCCTACTGCTTTCCCACTCTTGATTTATCTGTTCTTGGATCTCAGTGATTGGATTGTCTGCTTTGTCCTTGACTGACCTCTCAGGTTTATTATATTCCCCTGCCAGTTTCTTCGTTACGTCACATAGTTGTTTGATATTTCCTTCTCTTGCAGCTTGTTCCGCTGTCGTTGCTAGTTCTTACACGTATTTCTGCTTGTCGGCTCTAATGCTCCTCTTCACTTGCTAGTTTGCTTCTGTGTATTCGGCTTGTGCCTTGACTTTCCCTGTTCTTGTTCGGCTGTTGTTAATTGTTGTCTTCTTGTTCTTCCTTTCTTGAATCTTGTCCAGGGTTTCCATAGAGATCCATTCGTTATGATGATGCTTCTTCTTCTTCTTCTTATTATTATTATTATTATTAGCTTTATTCAATATTATAATTTTGGTACAATATAGAATTCTCAGCGCAAAGTATTTCAACAAGTTTCCGTTTCTTGCGACCCAGCACCTCCTGACACGTTGAAGTTAATACTTCTTTGATCCCTTTCCAGTTGTCCTACATAGTGGTTTCTTATTCTTTGAGTAGATCGTGCAAAGCTTGGAACTTGTTGTTGAGATTTATCTTGAATTCGTTGGTTTATTTAGTATCTCAAAGGAAGGCTGTATTGGACTTTTGTAATGCTGTTCCCCCAGTTGCCCAGTACTACTTTAGCTTCAATTTCATCTCGGTCACAACCAGATGGTAGTGATGCGGAGCTATGTCAACTCCTCTCCTGGTTCTCACATCTTCCATCGACCTTCTGAATTTTTCAGTGATACAGATATGATCGATTTGATTCTCTGTAATGTGGTCAGGTGAGACCCATGTAGCCTTGTGTATACTTTTGTTGGGGGAATATAAGGCCACCTATAACTACTTTGTTGAATGCACATGAATTTGCGAATCTGTCACCATTCCCGTTCCTTTCTCCATGTCAGTCCATGTCGTCCTATGATATCTTCATACCCAGTGTTGTCCATTCCAACCTTGACGTTTAGGTCTCCCATCAGGATGGTGAGAGCCTTTCTTGGGCACTTTGCTATGATTGATTGCAGCCGCTCATAGAACTGACCTTTACTGTCATTGGTAGGTGCATAACATAAATAACATAAATTATGCCGCCTCATGGTGAAAGCCGAGATTCTTCGTAAGTCACGAGGCTGATGCCTTTTCTAAGAACCAGAGCAACAATTTTTATAGGTACATGTAAAATTGGCATGAATATATTTTAACAAAACAGATGCAAAGCTCTGAAATTTGAATTTTAAAAGTTTCGGGCAATTGTATATATATTAAAATTTTCTGATTGGTTACTTACTGGAGTGTCGGTAGGCAACCTTTGAATAACTTCTTCACCAATATCTAGGGAATTTAAATCGTCGCCTGAGAAGTTGATGCGATCGACATTAGTAAATTTTTCTGTCAACTGGCAGAGATGATAGACTTCTTCACGATAGAGAGCCGTGTAACTGACCATTCCCGCCATCCATGGATAGCAGACAAGACCAAGAAACCAATGTGCACTGAAAGAGTTTTAACAATGACGACCAATCAATCTGAATATACAGAATGTCATGCGGTTTATAAAAGGTAAACAATCAGAATCAGTGACGGTGGATTAATTTAAATACTAAAGAACAATAAACAATTGTAGTAGTGACTAAGTGAACAAATGTAACTAGAACTATATTTTTAGTATAACCTATCTACCAAGTTTAATTTAATGTACTTGGTTTCCGTCAGTATTTCTAGTGTAAGAGTTCATGATACGACTCGCCTAAACAAATCGACGTAGATGAAGGAATATTCAAACTTTTAAATCAATAATTAAACGATCATCTGATTACTTATTTAAAAATAAACTGACAGTAGTACATACCAGTATCAACATTAATGACTTTCAGAAACATTAAACATCCAGTCTAGAAATTCAACAAAGAAAACGGCGTCGAACCTATTTTAAGTTTAATCATTCAGAAGAAATACTGTGGTCATATTACTCGGGACTTCGTTGGACAAATTGTGTTATGTCGTGGGGCAAGCACTAAATGGTTAAGGAATACATTTTTAAAATCACACTTTAGATTTGTTGTGTGTTTCGTTAACTTTGATTCGCTCAACTGCATATTATCCTCAACTTTCTTACCAAATAAAGTGAACACAAAATCCAAGTACATAAACCTGTACTCGATAAATGAGTTACATTATTCTGGATTATGATAAATTTTAGGTTTCTTTAAAAGCAACATGTTGTTTTACGGAATTACTATTCTGTGAGTTGTTACAATATTATATGTTGATAATTCCACAAAATGTAATTATATATCGTACTGAACAGACTTCTATTATTAGTCTCAACATATGTAGACAAATATTTTCTACGACAAAGGTGTTCATTGGGGGGGATTTTCCGTCAAAATGAACAAACCATCTGATGCGTCCAACCACATAATAATTCTGACTAATGGAAAAACAAGTTTTCTGATTGTTTATCGTAACAATTCTACCAAGTTAATGGAAGTTGATTGACTATTCAGTATTGTTTTGTAAAATAGTAGAGTAGGTGAATGACCTTATCAACACAGTTAAAACTAACACTGAAATACGAGGTTCATGAGTGGTTATACCAAAGTTTTTCATGTAAGTGGTCCATTTTTTGCGTGGTCAGTACTGCGAACAGCAGTACTCTTTGAGACCTAGACATTTTCGAATGGATTCTGAGTAAACTACTGAGGATTGTGATACTAGAAAAGTTTGACAACACTATTGAAAACTTTGAAAAATGTTCAATGGTAAACCAAATAATCCTAAAAATTCAATTAGCTTAACATAATTCAATCCATGTTTAAAAAAATAAATTTTTCAGAGACCTACCATTCGTTAATTGGAATAATAATATAATCTTTACTGAAAAGATCGACTCGACGTGTCCATTTCGCAACATTAGCATGCTGAGCAAAAATTGTTCTATGAAAACAACATGAATTGGAAATGGAAGAATTGAATATTTTCTGAAGGGTGTGGTAGTATCTTGAGAATTTTTTTGAATACTTGTCGGATTATTTTCAAATTTCGTTGAGAATTTGTCAATCATATAAACATAGAGAAAATCTTCCCAAATAACGCTTACTCGTGTCATGTGGTTAGCAGAGATAAACGTAATTTGATGCAATGACATTACAGTTGAAATAATTTCGTAATGATCATTAAGAACTTTCGATGCGGATGAATAAATTACTGATTCAGTGAGTACAGCAAACTAGCAGAGATAATGCTGCACAGTTTCTCCTTAACAGAACAAACACCACATTATGTTATTAGTGAAATCGAGAGAAATAAGTTGACCAATTATTGTACTCAACTTTCCTGTTATTAATGATTGATATTTTAGTCTTTATCTTTTTGTTCCTTGATATCCCTATGAGGAGTTTTAAGAAACTTACACGCTTAAATGATATATAAAGATGTCAATTTAGATTAGTTAATGAGTTGTATTCTAATCACTTTTGTGACATGTTTGGTATTTTTCGAATTGGTGAAATCAATAGTTATTTTTGTTCGTGAGTTTTAGAAGTATTTTTCATGCATTCACCACCTTATTTTTAGGGTATATTAGTGATTGGACAAACTCCGCCTGTAGCTCTTATAGGGTTGCTGCCGGTCCCAAGCCCGGGTAAAGGAGGAGGGTTGGGCATGGGGTTAGCGTCCCCATCCCGTAGAAAACTAACTCGCTAAAAAAACGCTTACCAGAAAAAATAATCCAAACCATTTTAACTCTGCCCTGGGAGTTAGAAGGTCTTCATTTAGAATTATGACGCTTCATGGTGAAAGCCGAGTTCCTTCGGAAGCCACGAGGCCGATGCCCCTTCTAACAACCAGAGCAAAAATTTTTATAGGTACATGGAACGTTCGAACAATGTGGGAAACCGGGAAGACCAGTCAAATAGCAATGGAAATGAGGAGATACAACTTAGCAGTACTGGGAATCAGCGAAACCCACTGGACCCAAGCTGGACAGAAAAGGCTAGCTACGGGAGAGATGCTGCTATACTCCGGTCACGAAGAGGACAATGCTCCACACACTCAGGGAGTCGCTCTTATGCTGTCCAAAGTAGCACGAGATGCACTTGTAGGATGGGAATCTCACGGATCCAGAATCATCAAAGCATCATTCAAAACAAAGAAGGAGGGGATCTTAATGAATATTATCCAATGTTATGCACCCACTAATGATAGCAACGACGACATTAAAGATCAATTCTACGAGCGGCTGCAGTCAGTGATAGAGAAATGCCCAAGAAAGGACCTCACCATTCTAATGGGAGATCTAAATGCCAAAGTCGGAATAGACAACACTGGATATGAAGATATTATGGGACGACATGGACTGGGAGAGAGAAACGAAAATGGAGAAAGATTTGCAAATCTATGTGCATTCAACAAATTGGTCATAGGAGGCACAATATTTCCACACAAGCGTATACACAAGGCTACATGGATCTCACCGGACCACACTACAGAGAACCAAATAGATCATATTTGCATCAACAAAAAATTCCGAAGGACAATGGAAGATGTGAGAACCAGGAGAGGAGCTGACGTAGCTTCAGATCACCACCTAGTTGTAGCCAATTTGAAACTGAAGCTAAAAAAGTACTGGACAAGTGGACAAACAGCAATACAAAGGTTCAATACAGCCTTCCTTCGAGATACTGTCAAACTCAATGAATTCAAGATAGCTCTCAACAACAGGTTCCAAGCCTTACGAGATCTACTGAAAGAAGTAGAAACTACTATGGAGGACAACTGGAAAGGCATCAAGGAAGCATTAACTTCAACGTGTCAAGAGGTTCTCGGTCTAAAGAAATACCATCATAAGGAATGGATCTCTACAGAAACAGTGGACAAGATCAAAGAAAGGAAGAACAAGAAGGCAGCAATAAACAACAGCCGAACACGAGCAGAGAAAGTCCAAACACAAGCTGAATACATAGAAGCAAACAAACAAGTGAAGAGGAGCATTAGAGCCGACAAGAAGAAATACGTGGAAGAACTAGCAACGACGGCAGAAAAAGCTGCTAGAGAAGGAAACATGAAACAGCTTTACGATACAACGAAGAAACTATCAGGGAAATACAGTAAACCAGAGAGGCCGGTCAAAGACAAAGAAGGCAAGCCAATCACCGAAATTCAACAACAACGTAACAGATGGGTAGAATACTTCGAGAAACTCCTGAATAGGCCGGCTCCAATGAATCCACCGGACATCGAAGCAGCACACATAGATCTTCCTATAGATGTCAATCCACCAACTACGGAAGAAATTAGAATGGCCGTCAGACAAATCAAGAACGGGAAAGCAGCAGGACCCGACAACATACCAGCTGAAGCACTGAAATCAGACATCGAAACAACCACAAGCATGCTTTATCTTCTATTCAAAAAGATTTGGGAGGAGGAACAAGTGCCAATGGACTGGAAAGAAGGACACCTCATCAAGATTCCAAAGAAAGGAGATCTGAGCAAATGTGAAAACTACAGAGGCATAACACTACTGTCAATACCAGGGAAAGTCTTCAACAGATTGTTGCTGAACCGGATGAAAGATGCAGTAGACGCCCAACTTCGAGATCAACAAGCTGGATTCCGTAAGGATCGGTCGTGCACAGACCAAATTGCAACACTACGGATCATCGTCGAACAATCAGTTGAGTGGAACTCATCACTATACATCAACTTCATTGATTATGAAAAGGCATTCGACAGTGTAGACAGGAGGACGTTATGGAAACTTCTTCGACACTACGGAATTCCTGAGAAGATTGTCAATATTATCCGGAACTCATACGACGGACTACAGTGCGAAGTAGTGCATGGAGGACAGCTGACAGATGCATTCCAAGTAAGGACCGGAGTCAGACAAGGCTGTTTACTCTCTCCCTTCCTCTTTCTTCTGGTGGTCGACTGGATTATGAAGACCTCAACATCTGAAGGAAAACACGGAATACAATGGACAGCTCAGAATCAATTAGACGATTTGGACTTCGCAGATGACCTAGCCCTCCTATCACGTACACACGAACAGATGCAGATGAAGACAGCCAGTGTAGCAGCAGTCTCTGCATCAGTAGGCCTCAGCATACACAAAGGGAAAACTAAGGTCCTCAAATTCAAAGCGGAAAACAGCAATCCAATCACTCTTGATGGCGAAACTCTGGAAGATGTAGAATCCTTCACATATCTGGGAAGCATCATCGATGAACAAGGAGGCTCAGATGCAGACGTAAAGGCGAGGATCGGCAAAGCAAGGGTCGCATTCCTACAATTGAAGAACATATGGAACTCAAAACAACTTTCAACCAATATCAAAGTGAGAATCTTCAATACGAACGTCAAGGCAGTTCTACTGTATGGAGCTGAAACTTGGAGAACTACAACTACCACAATCAAGAAAGTACAAGTATTTATAAATAGCTGTCTTCGCAAGATACTCAACATCCATTGGCCGGATACCATCAGCAACAGCCTTCTGTGGGAGAGAACAAACCAACTTCCAGCTGAAGAAGAAATTAGGAAAAGACGATGGAAATGGATAGGACATACATTACGCAAATCGTCAAACTGCATCACGAGGCAAGCCCTAACTTGGAATCCTGAAGGGAAGCGAAAAAGAGGAAGGCCAAAGAACACATTGCGTCGGATAATAGAAGCAGATATGAAAACGATGAATTACAACTGGACGGAGCTAGAAAGGATTGCCCAGGACAGGGTTGGATGGAGAACGCTGGTGAGCGGCCTATGCTCCTTCACGAGGAGTAACAGGCGTAAGTAAGTAAGTAAGTGATTGGACAAGTCCACCTTGTTTTTCGTATAGTCTGATAAGAAACAACAAGGAAATGTCATGGATATATGGGAAATTAATTTGTCATACAGCCTACAATACGTTAATGATCGTATGGAGATATTTCTACATCATGAATACTGTTTTAATGCGTTATGAGCTTCTCAGATATGCTAAACATCACCAATGGGATTTCTTGCTGTTATAGTTAGTGCTGATAGTTGTAAAATGTCACGAGACAAAATCAAGGATAAGCATTTAGTAATTGAAAAAAAACATGATCAATATGTTTTTTTAATGTGGTGGCTGGCAGCCGTATTCACTGAGTAATTAGAATTCGGTGAATTGGAATTTATAAAAATAAAACGGTTAACCTGGAACTCGTGAGGCAGTAACAAATAAAAAGTCGATAGATAGAGCATGTAACAATTCATGAGGTTGAGCCATGTTATGCAAATCCTACCACTAACTACTCATAAGAGATATTCTGGTTAACACAGAATTAGGTTAGAAGGCTAAAGGCGGCCAAGTGAAGACATGGCATGAGTTCAAGGAGACACTGACAACCAGTCTGAGCTAGGTGAGTTAAGGCAAGGTTCACAACTGTTTCCAGTCACAATAGTCGTAATCCGTGGTTTGGTGACAAGGGTCAAAATCGATCCTATTGAAGCAATCAAATTGATTATTTATATTTCTGTAAATGTTGAGCTCATTATCATTCCGCACAGTTTATTATTCGGTTTCACATGTACTTTTTAATATTTAACTCTTGGTTAGATTTTCACCAGTTTTCCCGCTTCCCGTGTTTTAACTTGTTCTCTCAATATGATAATGAAAGATATGACAACCCGATCCCATACATAATTGTTATAGATCTCAAAGTTGCCAAAGACTGACTGAGAACAACAAAGTATGATGGATTTAATGAGGAGTTTACTCCAATAAAAAGTGATTACAGGTTTTGCCAGTAGAAAACCAGAGGAGAGGAAAGTTTATTAGAAAATGAATATTATTTGTATAGAGATATAGTAAGATCTTAAGGCACTCGCAATTTTAAGCGGAAGACTCCTTAAGAGGGACAATCGTTTTTCTTTCGGAACTTACCAAACTATTGATTAGAGCACTTCAATACTCACAACTCATTAGATCCCGAAATCAGTATATCACTTCATATCTGTTGTCAGCATTTAATCGCCTAGCTTGAAATGCTGATTTAGACTTCATCTTGTTAATACGCAGTATTTTTTATGAATATTGAGTCTGCTTATATTTTGTGTATAATCTTGTAACTATCTTCATTCCTCCATACAAGATCGTTATTCTGTTAAGATCCTGATTAGCAATAAACGACTTTGATTTTATTATGGATACAGTAACTTTCTATGCTGATATAAATAAATCATTTCAAATATGCTTGGAGCAACTTAATTAACCGGATACAGCCTGATATATACAGTTTAAAATTAGGGTCTTTTTATTTAATGTAATAAATTGAAAGGTATTTATTTATTTGAACACATAAATTAGTACAAGGGGGAACCAAATATATGTGTGCCACACAATAACAATGAGGTTATGAAAGGATAAGGAATGTAGGGTGAGTATAATAAAAGAAGACCAACAATGAACGGAAATTAGTGTGTGAGAGTGAAATAATAATGGGAGAAACAGTTCAGTCAACAAAAATACAACTAGAACAAATTCGTCCAGTTAAAGTTACATTCACTTTCATGAAGAAGGTAAAAGAAGGTTACAACACGATCGCCACTAGCTTCTGTTCTGAGCCATATCTGATGACATATCAAGCTCCTGTGTTGCACCATACCTAGAGCCCCAACCAGGGAGTCGTGAACCAACAACAGAAGCTAGTCCTGTAAAGCTTTCTTTCATACCACGACACTATGTCGTGCACTGACCACCTCTCCTCTTTTCCCAACTGGTCATTGAATCGGCAAATAATGCACGATGTGGAACTCACTGTGATGATATTCTTAAGACATGTCCAAGTCACCGAAGTCGATGTTTCAAGATGGTGTTAGCAATTCTTCGGAGACAACGATGACCAAGCACAGTAGGTGCTACCAGTCTAGTAAAAGTACTTTGCACCTGGAAGGTGTTAACCACATGCCATACCTACGGACACTAACTGCCAACTGATTAAGTGCGGACTGCATGGTTTGGATATCATCGCACGGTAACACAATATCGTCCACACACTCAAGGCCAAAGTGTCGTTTTCCAGATGACAAATCCACACCACCGTTACGTACATCCATCAGAGTTGTATCCAGAATCGCATCAATGGCAAAGTTGACGACGAATGGTGAGATTGTGTAGCCTCCCCACTGCTTGAATAGAACAATGGAGAAAGGTGGTTGTATGCTCTCACTCTACCTGAGGTATTCGTATATAGGTCTCTTAAGTTGTGAATAAACTTCTTAAACAAACTCTTCTTTAATGGGCAATTTCAGACAACAGTCCAGTCCAAATAAGTGAAGGGAGCACCAACGTCAAGAAACACTATGATTTTTGGCCTGTAATAAGTATGACAGTGTTCTAAACTTTGAAACGGGGTGAAGATCGGATCGATGCATCCTCGACGAGAACGAAAACCATTACGTCTCTCGAGAACCAATATTTGCCGGGTTTTGAAGTATGGTATGACTCTATAGAGGTGTGTTACGGTTGCGTTAAAAATTATTGGTATACATTGAGAATCAAAGCTTGAATATATGCAACCTGAAAATGTGAGTGTTGCATGTATTTTCGAAGTCGTAAAAGCAATATGAGCTTAGTTGATGTGTCTATTACTTGAATAGTTATCATATTTTTTATTGATATGGGCAGATGATGAGATATGGAAGAGAGAGTAAGATTGGTTATTGTATGGTATCGGATACAATTTATGACGATAAACAGTGTAATAAATACCTGTAATTTTGAAGTGAGATTTCATTTTAAAGTGAAAGTAAAACACAAAAACACATAACATTAAAAATTCTAACGAACACATATAATTTACGAGGAAAGGAACGTAGATATAACACAAAAAATAACATTAATAAAAACACCAAACTTCGTAAGATTTGTACATACTCATCTGTGGTTTCTGAAGTCTTTGGTAAATTAGTTGAGAATGTAGAACTACGTACATCACTCGATATATAACCACCACTCGCCAGCCGACTGTAGAAAAATACATTGAACAAATAAGTGGCTTGTTTTTGGAAACTTGTGAGCTTTTCGAAATATAAATATTTGAGATAGAAGTTAATTATAGCATCATTTAAAAGAGCTCCAGGTGCAAGACACTCAATATCATTATTGGTTATTGTTATACTGTCAGTAGACCCAGGAGGTTTGTAATCGAACTTTCTATAATCAATAGAACAAGATTAAAATATACACACTGTTCATTTGACACTAAAATAAATGAAAGGTCCAACATTAATATACAATAGTGTTCTGTGCATACAATTTATATGTGTAGACGATTATTTATTTATTTAAACACATAAAAATAGGTACAAGAAGGCACCAAATAGATATGCACTACATAAATTATTCGATTTGTGTGAGGGCTGAAATACTGCCCGGGCACCGAAACCGAAGCAGGTGGTTTTCTTAGGGGGCTACACCCCGAGCCTTTGACCTAAAGGCCTAAACCACAAGGCAGTGAAGAAATGTTAGTAAATGCATTCCTATGGTAGCCAGTGACCAACAATAGTTCCATGCTCTATTTGTTCCCTCAGGATCCTAGAGCCCATGTGCACTATTGATTTGGAATCAGGGTTTTCCAACTCTCCTAGGTGGGTGCTCCGTTTCCACCAACCGGTTAAAGTGCCAGACATTTGCTTTTCTTTCAGTTTCGTAAACAACACTCCTGCTGCGAGAAGGAAGTGAAAAGGACTTCCTTGGCAGTGGTTTTATGCATGTGGCCAAGTGAGAGAATTTCGAGAGGGAAAGTTGACTCTCCCCACTTTCGGCTGTACCAGGGCATTTGGGGGCTAGAAGTTGGCTTAGAAACTAAATCATTTAGTCGCAATAAAGTTTAGATACCAATCATCCTAAGATGATAATAACACAAATTACAAACAAATAATAACACAATTACACTAACTCCCTTGTCTATACTCGTTTTTCATATACAATGAATGATAGTTACTGACCAACAGAAATCATTTTTATTCAGTTGTAAAAAGGTGTTGTTATAGTTAATGATGACAAAACAGCCAATAGAACTATAAGTGTTAATTTCACCGGTATGTGCGTCTATGTACATTTCTAATGACTTCTAATATTTATCATTCTATCAGTTGACTTGATGTTACATGATGATAACGTACAACGTTAAGCAACTTGGCAAGTGACAAAAAAAAGTAAAATGTTATTATAATCACATACTTTAAGACTTACAAAGAATCGTCATCAGGATTCGTAGATGATTCAGTTTGAGGATTGCCACTGTTAGTCAAAGCAGATGACCTAGCATTCTGAATCCATTCGCCAGTATTTTCTTCACAGAGAATGATTAAATCGTCACATTCTTTATTACACTTCATAAAAAATTAAGAAAAAAGCATTGTAAGGAAATAGGGTCACTGTCAAGTGCTGAATAAATTAAGTTTAGATTGTGAAGCATTAGAGTCGAATAATACAAGATACAATGGTGATCAGAGAAACCCAGTTAATTTAATCGAGCTTTTTCCTGAGAGTTGAAAGGTTTTCATATGGAAAAATTATGTCTCGTAATGAAAGCCAAGTCACAGAAAGACAAGAAGCTGAAGCTCCTTAAGACCTGTAGAACAACAATTTATATAAAAACATGACATCTCCAGGCAGTGTGAGAGACCGAGAGGACCATTTGAATAGTCACAAAGGTGATAAGATACAACAGCACTCGATAGCGTGGATAGAATAACCTTGTACAATTTAATTGACACTATAAACCACCTGAGATTTTCACTATCACACGGAACTCCTACAACTTGTGTCAAGACAAGGCTGCTTACTCTCAGTTTCCCTCTCTACTAGCTGTTGACTGCATTATCAACACCTCCACATCTCACGAAATTCATTGTACATGTTGAACACAGCTGAGTGATTTGAACTTTGTAGATTACTCAGTACTGTTATCACATACACAGCAACAGATGCAGACAAGGATAGCCAGTGTAGCAGCAGTCGCCTCGACAGGAGTATGTCTCAACATTTACGACGAAAAAAGCAAGACCCTTTAAATATAACACAGCGAGCACCAACCGAATCGCACTTGATGGAGAAGCTACGGAAGAGGCGGGTGCCTTTATGTACATAGGGAGTATCATTTAAAAACAAGAGGGATCTTATGAAGTCGTGAAGACACGTATTTGCAAAGCAAGGGTCAATATCCCTACAACCGAAGATCACCTAGAACTCACAACAAGCGTCACCTGAGACCAAATTCATAATCTTCAATACGAACGTCACGACAGTTCTATTGCACTGAGCTGAAACTTGAAGAATTACTACAACCACAATCGAAAAGGTACATGTATTCATAAACAGCTGTCAACGCACGATACTCCAGATCCCTTGACCGGAGTCCATCAGCAATAACCTACTGAGACAGATAACAAACCAGCCTCCAACTGGAGAGGATTAGGAAAAGACTCTGGAAGAGGATAGGACACACATTGGAGAAATTATCAAACTGCGTCACGAGGCGAGCCGTAACTCGGAAGTAAGAAGAGGCAGATCAAAGAACACAGTGCAGATAACTGAAGGAATAACTTAAGATAATGAGCAGCAGTTGGCAACAACTGTAAAGGAGAGGATAAGGTAGTTTTTTGTTGGTCCTTTGTGGGAGGCCTATGTCTTAAGAGAGATAGCGAGCCTAATTAAAATCTGCACTACCCGATAACTGCAATAAGTGCATTGTTTTTATTTTATAAAGTGATAAGAGAAAAACATGCAAAAAAGTTCAATTTACTATTCGTTTGGTTCCGTAACTTTTTATCGAAAGACTGACAGTCATTTAGGGATTTAATTTCTACATGCTTTTACGGGTAAGAACCAACTTTTCTTTAACATCATCCGTCCTCAATCCACAGTCACTTAAGATATCAAGGACTTTGTCACTTGTCTAACAAACGTTTGTTTTATCAAATGGTTGCATAATAATTACAATCCATTCTCATTGAAAAGATAGTTTCTCTATAGAAAATGGTCATGTATTGACGTAAACATGACGATGTATTTCTTTCAAATTTAAGGACTTCTAGTGTGCATTAGGATGAGGTCAGAAGTGGGAGGATATTTCACCGACACAATTCTATTACTTACAATTAGTAAGTAGTTAATGTGCCAAATACTTTAAAAGTATTAAGTTGGCAGACAAAATCAAGTGCAAACCACTAGTTGTTTTTGCTAACAGAATGTATATTTCAATACTTTTACCGTGAATTCTACCAGTTCATTTGACTTACCTAAGTTACCTGGGAGAAAGAGCATGATATCAATAGGATCAGTTTATTAGGTGGTAGAAAACTGACTAATATCAAATTATTAGAATGAGTTTTGTGGAGATTTTAGTAAATTTCACAGGTTGAAATCATGAGTCAGTTGAAGCTAGACCACCATTGAAAACCTGGAAGCACTGGACGGACGTTTCGTCCTAGCATGGGACTCCTCAACAGTGCGCATCCACGAAACCGCCTCCTGTGAGACTCGAACCCAAGACCCACTGGCTTCGCGCGCGAGCACTTAACCATTAGACCACTGAGCCGGCATCCGACGGTGTTAATGTCTAACTTCAACCAATCCACGAAGTTGCGCCATCGAACACCAATGTCTTCAGTGAGCTGATATCTCACAACAGACCTGGTTGAACTCCACTGGTGACGGCTTCTTACTAGAACTCCAGGAGGTTCTCCTGAGAGATCCTGTGAGATATCAGCTCACTGAAGACATTGGTGTTCGATGGCGCAACTTCGTGGATTGGTTGAAGTTAGACATTAACACCGTTGGATGCCGGCTCAGTGGTCTAATGGTTAAGTGCTCGCGCGCGAAGCCAGTGGGTCTTGGGTTCGAGTCTCACAGGAGGCGGGTTCGTGGATGCGCACTGTTGAGGAGTCCCATGCTAGGACGAAATGGCCGTCCAGTGCTTCCAGGTTTTCAATGGTGGTCTAGCTTCAACTGACTCATGATTTCAACCTGTAATATCAAATTCACCAAAATTTCGGCTCGTTTAGTATTCCAGTATCCTAAGTCAACCTACCAACTTGTATAAATCGAATCGATAAAGCAGAGGACTAGATCTATTAAAATAGGCCCATTAAGCTAAAAATCCACTTTCTTTTCAACACGGGAAGCTGTGAAAGATTTTTAGACATTATACAGAAGCTTGATCGGAGCGACTAAAATGTTTAAATTTGATTAATAAACTGAATTATTGGCAATTCAATCTCGCTGAAAACACGCCACACCAAGTGTTTTCATATCATGATTAACCATTAGACCACTGAGCCGGCATCCGACGGTGTTAATGTCTAACTTCAACCAATCCACGAAGTTGCGCCATCGAACACCAATGTCTTCAGTGAGCTGATATCTCACAACAGACCTGGTTGAACTCCACTGGTGACGGCTTCTTACTAGAACTCCAGGAGGTTCTCCTGAGAGATCCTGTGAGATATCAGCTCACTGAAGACATTGGTGTTCGATGGCGCAACTTCGTGGATTGGTTGAAGTTAGACATTAACACCGTTGGATGCCGGCTCAGTGGTCTAATGGTTAAGTGCTCGCGCGCGAAGCCAGTGGGTCTTGGGTTCGAGTCTCACAGGAGGCGGGTTCGTGGATGCGCACTGTTGAGGAGTCCCATGCTAGGACGAAATGGCCGTCCAGTGCTTCCAGGTTTTCAATGGTGGTCTAGCTTCAACTGACTCATGATTTCAACCTGTAATATCAAATTCACCAAAATTTCGGCTCGTTTAGTATTCCAGTATCCTAAGTCAACCTACCAACTTGTATAAATCGAATCGATAAAGCAGAGGACTAGATCTATTAAAATAGGCCCATTAAGCTAAAAATCCACTTTCTTTTCAACACGGGAAGCTGTGAAAGATTTTTAGACATTATACAGAAGCTTGATCGGAGCGACTAAAATGTTTAAATTTGATTAATAAACTGAATTATTGGCAATTCAATCTCGCTGAAAACACGCCACACCAAGTGTTTTCATATCATGATTAACCATTAGACCACTGAGCCGGCATCCGACGGTGTTAATGTCTAACTTCAACCAATCCACGAAGTTGCGCCATCGAACACCAATGTCTTCAGTGAGCTGATATCTCACAACAGACCTGGTTGAACTCCACTGGTGACGGCTTCTTACTAGAACTCCAGGAGGTTCTCCTGAGAGATCCTGTGAGATATCAGCTCACTGAAGACATTGGTGTTCGATGGCGCAACTTCGTGGATTGGTTGAAGTTAGACATTAACACCGTTGGATGCCGGCTCAGTGGTCTAATGGTTAAGTGCTCGCGCGCGAAGCCAGTGGGTCTTGGGTTCGAGTCTCACAGGAGGCGGGTTCGTGGATGCGCACTGTTGAGGAGTCCCATGCTAGGACGAAATGGCCGTCCAGTGCTTCCAGGTTTTCAATGGTGGTCTAGCTTCAACTGACTCATGATTTCAACCTGTAATATCAAATTCACCAAAATTTCGGCTCGTTTAGTATTCCAGTATCCTAAGTCAACCTACCAACTTGTATAAATCGAATCGATAAAGCAGAGGACTAGATCTATTAAAATAGGCCCATTAAGCTAAAAATCCACTTTCTTTTCAACACGGGAAGCTGTGAAAGATTTTTAGACATTATACAGAAGCTTGATCGGGGCGACTAAAATGTTTAAATTTGATTAATAAACTGAATTATTGGCAATTCAATCTCGCTGAAAACACGCCACACCAAGTGTTTTCATATCACATGATTTGCTATTGAAAAAGTACTTAATCACGACTGAAACAATGAATTACAGGGGTTTGTGTAGAAGAGGCCAGTTTACAATAATGATAGTTTTAAGAAGAATGAAAAATACAAAGAAAACAAAAATCTAACATGTCATTCTGAAACAATATTAACTAAGTCCTTAGTAGGATACCAGGCATAGAAATCCGACGCGCAACATACTAACCAAGAAAGTTTAATGTTTTCTGAAAGTGGTAGCAACGACTATGCACAAATACGATTTTTAAAAAATTCAATGAATAGGAGCACGAATTTATTTATTTATTTGTTTGAACACATGAATATTGGTACAAGAAAGCGCCAATATTTATGCGCCACACAAAACAATGAGAATTCGAAGAGAAATAAGAATAAAAAGAACTAAGGAGCGCAAAAGAGAAAAAGAAAACAATAACGAAGAGATTGGTGTAAGGTAGTGTGGTAGTAACGAGGGAACGGAAAGGTACAATCGGAAGAAATCTTTCAGGTAAGGGAGACACAACCACTTTTTATGAAGAAAGTAAAAGAAGGTTACAGCAGGATCGCCACTGGCTTCTATTCTGAGCC